GTCTGTGTGTCAATTTCCAATCACCCAGAGAAGCTGTAAGAGATCAATAGAGTGAACAGACTAAAGTTTGCTTTGTGTTATTCTAAGTCCCCACACTCTTGAGGGCCCCTACGTGTTTTACTGTTACTCTAGAGAAAGCAAATATTCAAAAATGTTTCTATTTTTGGCGGTACCTGGAGGGTGGAGGGAAGGTGGGGTAGAAAGGGGGGACCAATTACAAGGATCTACATATAACCTCCTCCCTGGTGGACGGACAACAGAAAAGTGGGTGAAGGGAGACATCGGACAGTGTAAGATAGGGCAAAATAATAACATAAATATCAAGGGTTCATGAGGGAGGGGAGAGCGGGGGGAAAATGAGCTGATATCAAGGGCTCAAGTAGACCTGTTATGTTTTGAAAATGCTGATGGCAACAAATGTGCAAATGTGCATGACACAATGGATGGATGTATGGATTGTGATAAGAATTGTAGGAGCCCCCAAAAATTGAATTTAAAAAAATGTTTCTATTTTTGGAAATATGATATTAAGGAAATCACACACAAAGGAGTGAAAGGAAATGAATGGAGTCAAACCTCTAATTCCTTCTCTTTCATACTCAGCTCTCGTTTCTTTTTATTTAAAGTGTCTAAGTGCTCTTTTTGTTTGTCTTCATAATGCCGCTTCCCTCGTTTTTGGTTATCCACTTCAGAATCAGCAAGGTTTAATTCATCCTGTTAAAATAAAGCCACAACAATCTACAACGATTCTTTAAAAATAAATACATACTGACATAGTATCAATGCTGTCATAGGTATAAAACATTTAACCCAATAGCGCAAAAAAGAAATCATGTTGCATTAAGTTCATATTCCCATGCATCTTAAAAGAAGTGAAGATTTCTCCAACCTTTTAAAAATTAGTTTATAGTCAGAATTTTCATATGAATTCTCTTATTATGGTATCTTGATATAATGGTACATTTAATTTTGATAAAACCCTTTTGGGGAAAGCACTACTTAAAATCAGGCAAGTGTTAGCTGTTTACAAGGTCAGCTGGTAAAACTGGTTTGAAAATGGTGGATGAGTGAAAAAAAGTCTGTCATTAAAGGCCACATATTGTATGATTCCATTTATATGAAATGTTCAGCAGAGACAGGTGGTTGCCCCAGGACCAGGGTGGGGGGAGAAAGGACTGCAAAGTAAAGGAAGAAGAGGTAATTACTTTTGGAGGCAATTACTGGTTACCTGGAAGTGGGGTGGGGGGTAGGGGTGGGGTGGGAGTGATTCTCCCCACTGCTAAGTGATGGGTTTCTCTTTGAAGTGATAAAAATATTCCAAAAGTAACATGTCGATAGTTGTTGCAAAGCTCTGTAATACACCGAAAACCATTTAATTGTGTATTTTAATTGGATGGATTTTATAGAAATACTTCTGCCCAAGATACTCTAGGACAGCGGTTCTCAACCTGTGGGTCACGACGCTTTCACAGGGGTCACCTAAGACCATCAGACAACACATTTTTCCGATGGTCTTAGGAACTGAGACCCCGCTCCTCTCTCCATCTCCTGGCAGGTCGGCCCACATGCAGAATCGCCCACATACGAGTACCTGGTAAGAAGACAGTTACCCAAGCTACACCATGCTTCAAGACAAAATTCCATTTATTTGTAATTAGAAATATTTCACAATATGTAATTACATACTGTTTTGTGATTAATCACTATGCTTTAATTATGTTCAATTTGTAACAATGAAAATATATCCAGTATATCAGATATTTACATGACGATTTTTAACAGGAGCAAGGTTATAGTTATGAAGTAGCCATGAAAATAATGTTATGGTTGGGGGTCACCACAACATGAGGAACTGTACTAA